TGGATCCAGAGAAGGTGACAGCCTGTTGGAAATGCTTATGACAACACGGGCGCCATGTTCCGAACTCATATACAAAAAAGGAATTAAAGTGGGTTTTGAAAGTTCGAATTTTGTTGTTTTTGCTAACTGAGTGGAGAAGGTTTCCAAACTGATTTCAGAGTGACGAAGGTCTATCTTGCCTTTCCGATCATCATTTTGATATCCGCATCCTTGCCGACTACCTGTAGTTGAAACGCTGCTGCCTAGCTAAGTAAAAGAAGTAACCTCTTTCAGATTTCTTCCGTTGATATTGATGGTGATGACAATCCTACTGTCTGCCTGTCTGTTTTCGACATAGAACTATGCACAAATGTGCACCAGTTCAAGTCGCCACATTCCGTGTAGCACGCGAAGCAAGAGAAGAAAGTACAAGAAAAGCATAATAGAAACAGTGAGCAGAGGTGTGAGACAAAGGAGTAATAAAGAAATACAAAACAGTTTCATTGGAGATCATAAGTCACAAGGAGTGGATGCATCTGCGCCACTGAGAACGATTTTGAGCCATGTCACTGTTATAACTGTGGGGAATTGAATGATAGACGTTTACACCTTATTCTGTCTGCGCCTGAACTAATCTGTCTATCTGCTCGTCGTACCTTCCGACTTAGTCAAGCACGCAAATATCAATAGACAAAGGCTGGACTGTGACTGTGTATTGAAGTGCAACAACGATAAAGAAAGCCATGGTATTTATACATTTTACAACAATATGGACAGCTAACAGCATTTGAAATAATTTATCTTAATAGCTAATAACAAAGTGCGTGAGAGATGATAATATACCATATGTGCGAGGTTGACAGTCAGTAACAAAATGTGTGGGAATGATAATATACCATATATACAAAATTAGCAGTCACTACCAAAATGTGTGAGAATGATAATATACCATATATACAAAATTAGCAGTCACTACCAAAATGTGTGAGAATGATAATATACCATATATACAAAATTAAACAGTCAATACCAAAATATGTGGGATCCTATCAGTCACCAATTGTTTCCAACCATAGATTTTTACCGTCCCGAGGGCCCCAGCCTGGAAGTCTACACCTTCCTACGTGGCTTAGACCAACTGTTGTGGATTTCATTGACTGATGCCAAGTTTTTGTTTGACCGCCGCTAGCTTTTTTCCAGCCTGATCCTATATCCGCTAACATTGCTCGTCGAGGGAGGCGATGGCTTGGCATACGTAACACATGTCCTAACCATCTCAGTCTTTGTAACTTCACGACTTCGTCGATTGATTTCCCCTGTTTACCTAGAACTCGACGCCTAACCTCCATGTTGCTCACCTTATTATGCCACTTCATACGGGGAATAGAGCGCAGGCACCTATGATCAAAGACAGCTAGTCTTTTCATGTCTTCCACTCTCAGTGACCAGGTCTCACAACCATAAAGGAGGACGGAGCGGACTGATGAGCAGTACACCCGCCCTTTGGTCGATAGTCGAACATCTCGTCTACGCCAGAGTCGGCGTAAACTAACAAATGCGAAACGAGCCCCCTGTATTCGTGCTGATATTTCGTCAGAGATCAGCCCGTTGGCGTTGGCTGATGGTACTTCCCAAATAAGTGAAGCGGTCAACGTGCTCTACCACTTCACTCCCTATTTTTAAACTAGGCGTCGATGTAGTCCAGTCCTGTAACATCATCTTGCATTTGGCGGGAGCGAATCGCATTACAAACATTCGTAGATTGCGGCTCAAGGTGTTTAGAAGACTCTGCATTTTGTCAGCGTCTTCGCCTAGAAGGACTATATCGTCTGCATATTCCAAGTCAACGAGATTATTCCCCGGTAGCAAGTCAATCCCTGAGTCGCTGAAGTCACCTAGGGTTAAGTTTATTAACACATCTATGATGAAGTTGAACTCATCAGTTCCCTTTATGAATTTCGACAAAACAATAAGAAGACAGTTAATCTGAAACGTGTAATGTATTATCTCATGGGGAACGAGAAGGCAGGAATACGTTCAACCGATAACAAGATTCTAGAAGATCTGGATTTCGCAGATGATATATGTCTAATGTCACAAAAATTCAAAAGACTTAGAGGTAAAAACCAACAAACTGACAGACGAGGCAAGCAGAGAACACGGAGACGATGAAGATAACCAACCAACCAACATCAACAACAATCACCATCAACGAGAGAAATTTGGAAGTCGTCACTTCCCTCACTTAATCAGGAAGCATCGTTTCAACAACAGGTGATAGCATGTGGATGAAGATGTTAGAGCCAGTCTGAATCGAAAAGGTAAGATATGCCTTCATCATTCTGAAATCAGTTAGGAAATATTCTTCTCTCAGTCAGCTTAAAGAAGGAGATTTTGATTTCCAACACCAATGTTAGGTCAGTCAGATCTTATGTGTATGGTTCATCACATCACGAAAAGCATTTCCAACAAGTTACAGTATTTTATCAACAGCTGCCTTTGCTGACGCCATAATGAAGATCAGATGTCAGACTGGCGAGAAAGAATTAGTAACAAGAAACTCTGCAGTGAAACAAATCAACTAAGATTGCATGGAGGATTTAATCATGAGCTGACATCAGTTAGAGAACCACTGGAAAACCTGGGAGTACTGGACAGCTGTTTCGTCCTAGTTTGGGACGTGAATTGGCAGAAGTTAGAATTCAAGGACCATTGGATCGGGTCCCAGTGGCTCAATGGTCTACGAGCTTGCCTTGTAACCAGAAGGTCCTGGGTTCGAATCCCGGTGGCTGCGTACTGCTGAAGAGTCCCAAACTAGGACGAAACAGCTGTCCAGTACTCCCAGGTTTTCCAGTGGTTCTCTAACTGATGTCAGCTCATGATTAAATCCTCCATGCAATCAAACAAAATCCCTACAAAACCAATACTTGAAAATCAACTAAGAGCCAATTGTTCACCAAATATGTAGGAGCAAATGGAGATGGATTGGCCATAAGCCATCGAGGAAGTCGTCGAATGACATCGTGCGTAACGCAGGCCATCGCTCGAATTAAACCCAAATAGGAAGCGACGAGTGGGTTGCCGGTGCGAGGGTGACATGGAGGCAGTTGTACAAGGAGAAGAGAAATTATGAGCAATCAGCTATATAGATCAGCAGAAAATCGAACAAAGTGGAGATGTGTTTTTGAGGCCCTATGTCCCAATCGGAACCTAAGAGAATAGTAATAATAATACTTCCATACAAAGAACGGACCTCGGAAACCTCACGGAGAAAAAGTGGCATTCAGTTACCCACGAACTCAGTTAGAAATAAGCTTTGTCAGTTAAAGGATCCTGTGGAGCTAAATAAACAAAACAGTTTAATTCATCTAATATCCTGCTGCAATGATCGTCGGGTTAAATACATACGTCAGAATAGTAGAACTGGGTCAGTCAGACTAGCCGAGAACAAAAATCTAGATTAGTTGACCGTAATAAGATAATAAATCTAGAGGACGGTTCAGCTATTACAGCCCTGCATGCAATCACACACACACACAACCGTACAATAGGATGATGGGATAAGATGAAAGTTCTGAAATCTAATATAACAGCAGGGTGGAGACAGAGATTGATAATGGAAGCTTTATTTATCGAATCAACTGCAAACACGTGCGATACCTGTCCAGCTGGACATCTGAAAAATTCCACTCCCTCTACAGTGAACAGGTAGGAGTAAAGAAAAATATGAAACGAAAGTTTAGACGTTGTATAGTTATAATTGATATGATTAAGAACAGCACTAATTTGTGTTCGAAACTTTTTCATCGAGTAAATACTGGTTTGCAGGGATTTGATTGGTTTCAGGGTTTCATCATGAACTGCCATCGTTCAGAGAAGCATTGGAAAATCAACAGGGAGCATCGGATTGTTATTTCGTCCCACTAGTTTGGGACTTGACATCGGTATGCACTCACTACCAGGGTTCGAACCTGCGACCTTCCGGTTACAATGAGAGCACTGGGACGTGATCAAATAGCCAGTTCATGAACTCCAACTTTTGCCAATTGACGATATAGCACGGCCACTACTAGTCAATGTCCTCGATGGGGGGTATTTATCCTAACACCCGACCTGCTGTACCCCACTGGTCAGGAATTCCCACTAGAACCCAAGTAACTGACCGCCCACTTGAATAGGGCCAGCCACTAGTGAGCATCAGATTGATATTCAAGTGTTGGTTTGCAGGCATGTTGATGAAAGGTCCAAAACTAGTGGAACGGAACAGTACTGGTTTATCATTGGTTCTCTAAATTGTTTCAACTACAGGAGGGATGGACGAGGATGTCAAATCGAGAATCGGGAAGGCGAGCGAGAAACACATTCATCAACCTGAAACCAATCTGGAAATCTTCGTCACTCAGCATCAACAACAAAATTCAGTCGGATTTTCAATACAAACTTCAAGTCAGCCAGTTCTTACATACGGATCAGAAGCTTGGCGGGTGGGTCACAAAGAATATTTCCACCAACAGCCTGTTGCAGACCTTTATCAACCAGCAACTGTCTTCGCTGGATCTATACTGGAGATCAGATGGCCGGGCCAGAAAGAATCACCGACAACAAGAAACTATGGGAACAAACAAACCAATCGCCAACCAACAAATATGCAGGAGAAAGTGGAGATGGATGGATTGGATACTCGCGACTGAGGAGGCCACCACTGGGTGACATCACGCGCGCGTCAGGCCATTGCTCGAATGACACCAGGCCGAAAGGGAAGCACGCGGCGAGTGGGACGTCAGTGTAAGGGTGACATGGAGGAGATCGTGTGAAGAGGAGTTGGTTGAAAGAGTATGGACTAACATGGATGGATGCAGGCGAAAAGTACAGCAGAAGGAAGACAGAATCAAGTGGAGACGTGCAGTTGAAGCCCTATGTTCCACTAGGAACCCAAGGGAACAATAATAATTGGTTCTCTAACCCATGTCAGTTCATGATGATATCTAGTAGACAAATAAATATAGAAGAGACATTACAAGTTTAGACAAAAAATATGTATATATATTTAATCGGAACCCTATTGTATGATACAGAGAAATACAATAATAAAAGAATTTATTGCATCACAAAGTGTCTATACAAAAATACAAGAAAATACAATACAGATCAAGATCAATAACAACACCAGTATACAGTAAGAAGCAGGCGTACAAAGTCTTCCCTTTATTCATTCATCAGTGCTTTTATGATGTTTATGCTTTCTTTTCGAGTGTTTATGCGACTTCTTCACCTTATGCTTTTTTCTATGATGATGATGGCGATGGTGGTGATGATGTTGGCGGTCTGAAGTAGAGGAATAGGAAGCCGATCGACTGCTGCTAGTAGTTACTGCCTTCTCTTCTTCCATATCATCATCGTCTGAGGATTCTGTCTCTGAATGCTTTCTATTGATACAAAAAAAGAGGAAATAAAGAAATGCATTGATAGAGAGAGATGATATGATGAGATAATGGATGACAATGAATACTTACCGTTTTTTAGAGACTCGTTTTTTCTTCTTCTCTTTAGACTTTTTCACTTTCTTTTTTGCAGCTAAATGAAAGTAAACAAAAATTATACGTCCTTGAGTAGTAGTAATAATAATAATAACAACAATAATAATAATATTGGCTTTATTCTAAAACAGTACACATTTCGATGTAGTTGTGTTCTCCCAGCTGAATGGTTTATTTGCGAAGCTTTCATCGCCCTACTAAGCAACACCCTCACCTCAGCGCGTACTTCAATTTGTTGAAGTGAGCTTTTATATTTCTCCACGAGTTTATTAGTCATCTCTTCTGGTGACCAGCTTGAACATGACTCTTTGGTTGTGTTTGTGTTTTCTCACACCCTCTAGGCTACTTGTATTGGCATTGGTGCTGATTGTTACTTTGAATTGAACTTTGTCCCCTTGTGTGTGAGGTTTCCTTCTTATCGAGTGGTAAATTTTGTCTATCTCCATGTGTCTTCTGATTGACGATTCACTGGAATACTAGGCACGCTTCTAAACATCCTCTGGCTAGCATTCTTGGTGTTTCCTCTGTCTAACATTTGAACGTTGGTTGCCCCACTCGAATTGATTTCCGTGGTTGTCTGTGCGTAGTGATATGAGGGAGTGGATATCATGTCTTCTAACGGCTAGCTTGTGTTCGTGGATACGAAGACGAAGGGGACGTCCACTTTGACCAATGTAGCGTTTTTCTCAGTCGTTGCAACTTATTTTGTAGATGATGTTGGTTTTATCTTCTTTCGCTGTTGGGTCTTTTGGCTGACACAGAGTTGAGTGAAGTAATTTTGTTGGTTTGTGTGCGACATCAGTCCCTAAAGGTATGAAGAGTCTTGCAGTAATTTCTGAGATGTCTTTTACATATGGTAGGGCGACTTACTTTTTGCTTTCCTTGGGGGTCTTTAATTTGGTAGGTTGGCTTGAAGGTAGATGTCTTTTGAAGTTCCGTGAATATCCATTCTTTTGGAAGACGTCCATGAGATAACGACATAGATAAGATTTACCAATCGATAAGAAGAAAATTTCACACACAAAGGATCAAAGTCCAGGTCAAGGAGAGTAATCAGTACCCGTACAAATAGCCTAGAGGGTGTGAAAATACATCAGCAAGTCCCAGAAGGTTGATTGCTGACGAAATTTCATCACGGATGGAGAAGGGTATTTCCGCATATGCCAGTTTATGCCGTCTCTGGCGTAGACGTGTTTTCCGGCTGTCGACCGTAGGACGTGTGTACTCCTCACCAGTTCGCTTTTTCCTCCTTCTTTATGGTTGTGAGATATGGCCATTGATGGTAGAGGATATGAAAAGGTTAGCTGTCTTTGATCATAGGTGTCTTCGTTATATCTCCCGTGTGAAGTGACATAATAAGGTGAGCAATATTGAGGTGAGGCTTCGGTCGAGTGCTAGGTGATTGGGAGGGGAAATCAATCAACGAGGTTGTGGAGCTACATCGACTGAGATGGTTATAACATGTGTTACGCATGCATCCCTAGCCATCGCCTTCCGCGATAACAGGAAATGTTAGCTGACATAGGGTAAGGTTGGAAAAGAGCTGGTGGTGGTCAAACCAAAACACGGTTTCATCAGTCACTGAGATGTATAGCGGTTATTTTTGGAGGTTACGTAGGGAGGTGTAGAGTTCCTGACTGGTTAGGGTACTCGGGATGGTAAAATCCAATGGCTACAGACATTCGGTGACATGGCTGAAAATCCTCGTTGTCCATGATGGTGCAGACGCATTCACTCTTTGTCACTGTCATATCCAATTAAAAAACTGACTCTTCATGTCCCCCCCTCACACTTCTTTTTTCTTGAATCTGTCTTTACTCTCTTCTCTTGCTTTGTGAGCTACACGGAGAGTGACATCTCAAACTGTTGCTGATCTGTGCAAACTTCTATGTTGAAACTAGTCAGTCAGTTGAACAATCAACGAGAATCAGAAGCCCATTCACCCTGAGATTACCTTACAGCCTAATACTTAAACTTGTGCCAGATTACTTAAATTAACAACTCAGTAATAATGTAGATAGTATGGATTACACACCCTGGAATGTCATGCAATTACGAACAGAGATTATGGATCATGACTGAAAAGTAACTCAATTCTACTTTCCAAAAATCTATACAACATCTATCAAAAAATAGTGAAAATTTACAAAGAAAATTAGTTGACAAGGTTGAAGTCCAATTTTAAAGTAGTAAAACAACATTTATAAAACATAATAAGACTGTGATAGACAAGCCCAGTTGAAAACATCAGTTGGTCGATGAACTAAGCTTGGCATTGACAGACTGATTTAGATAATTAAGACTAATTGGCCTGTTTGATAACTATAAGTATGAACCTAATTAAGTTGTACAACTGAATCAGTTAAACTGTATCTATCCTAAGACATGGTGTGAATAAACTGACAAAAGACAAAATGATCGCGGACATGATGAATAGGGACATCAATGTTGGTTTTCTTTAACCTGAATGTTTTAATTTTGACGCTTTATTGTCGAATACGTGTCACATTCTGTCTGTCTGTTTTCGACATAGAACTATGCACAAATGTGCGGAAATTCAAGTCGCCACACTCCGTGTAGCACGCGAAGTAAGAGAAGAAAGTACAAGAAAAGCATAATAGAAACAGTGAGCAGAGGTGTGAGACAAAGAAGTAATAAAGAAAAATAAAACAGTTTCATTGGAGATCATAAGTCACAAGGAGTGGATGCATCTGCGCTAGCCATTGAGAACGATTTTGAGCCATGTCACCAATTGTTTCCAACCATAGATTTTTACCGTCCCGAGGACCCCAACCTGGAAGTCTACATCTTCCTACGTGGCTTAGACCAACTGTTGTGGATTTCATTGACGTGTCACATTAGTCTTATGCATATCGAGTTAGGATCTACACATCGTGATTCGAAATCTGTATGTCATGAACTAAAAATGATGCGTCAAGGAAACCACTTACAACCACCTGCTTTTTGTATATAATTGAGTTATATCTGCTCACCGACTCCCCTATGGTCCTATACGCAGATGACTTAAACATTTAGAGAGAACCGAAAGGCAACAGTGATACGTTCGCGTTGCAAGAGGACCTCATCAAATTTTCAGAGTGGTCCATAGAATGGATGCTCCCGATCAATGTAGCAAAATGTGCAGCTATGCGCATCGGACAAGCAAGCACAAGCTCCTACGAACTAGAGAGAATAACACTTCCATCAGTTTAGACTCACTTGAACTTAGGTGTCATAGTTAGCCACGATTTAAAAACTACAGCACAATGTCGCGCGGTGGCTGCATGTAGTTACAGGTCCTTATGGGCAATTCGCAGGGCCTTTACTAGAATCACTAGAGATATGTTTACCTCCTTATATACACCTCTGGTGACGCCAAGACTAGAAAAATGTATCCAGGCAGCCAGTTCTCGTCTTAAAGGGGACTCACACATTCTAGAAAGGGTTCAAAGGAAAGCAACATGTATGGTTCCCAGAATGACTAACTTATCATACAAGGAAAGACTACAGTTTAAATCTCTTCTCTCTGTCAAACCGTAGGTAGACAGGAGATTTGAACACAATGACTACGGACCTGACCTATTCTCTCTTTTCCTTCCCACCAGGTGGGAAGACCTTAAAGGACACAGCAGGAGAGTTCAAAAGCCAAGAAGAAATCATATTGTTGTTGAGTACTGGTTCTCACACGGTCATAAACTCTTGGAACCGACTGCCGGAAGAAGTGGTGTCTGCAACCTCAAGAATGGTTTGGACAACCACAGAAATTAACCAGAAAAAGGATTAACATAGGCTCCAAGCCCTCTATGCTCAACAAATAAATCAGAAATCTGCTGCAGACTTTCACTAAGATCTAACTTCGCCGACTCCATACTGAAGATCAGATGACCAGTTAGAAAGGATACACAACAAGGAACTCAAGCAAAAAGTAAACAACCAAGAACTTATCAGTTAACAAATATGCAGAAGGAAACGGAGGAGGAAATGGTGTACAGTGAGGACAATGTTGAATTGCATCACACACCAGACCTTCAAGGGGAAGGAATTTGAATGGGCGTCTCCTAACGCGACACCGACTAGATCGTGTGGGGAGAGTATGGAAGTTTGTGAGCAAATGTGAAGCCAGCTAAAATAGACTGCAGAGGACAGAGTGAGATGGCGATATGCTGCTAAAGACCTATATTCCGCTAGGAACCCAAAGAACAAATAATAATTAACAGTTGAGGCTACTGTCCGGAATTTCGACCTAACCATTAAAGTTTATTCGTTGATTCATTTATTTATTTTTTACTTTTTTTTGATTACAGCTTGATTCCACACTGTACTTTTGGTACAAGTATGGAATTTTCAGCGTGGATATCGGTAGCCCAAAATTCGCAGGCCGACCATAGATATCAGGTGTGCGTCGGCGTGGGCTCGAACTCCGGACCATGTGCATGGTCGGCGAGAGTCCTAACCACTGTGCCACCGACGCACATGGTACCTCCACGTCAGTTGTCATCGTATAACGTCAACTTGGCTGATTCGAATGTGAATAATTTTGATGTATGTCACAGATTTCATTACAACATGCATAAAAAGTCTTTAAAATAATCACACTTACCCTCTTTTTCTTATACAAACAGAGAAAATTGCATATGAAAAATGTAATCTAAATAAATGTATCTTACTTAGTAAATACATAAATGCGTTTTACACTGAGTAGTCTCATGGCTGCATCAAATACTAGAGTGGCTGGTAACAAAGGACTAACCAACGTTATCAGTCTAGTCCTTGGGGTTGGCGTAGACTAAATTGTCACTCAAGTTTGTAATGCGATAAACAAGCTAAAAGTGCCTCGCCATTGAAGTGTACTCTGAATTGATAGTTATAAGTAATCGGTAAGAAGTCTTCAAACTAGGTTTCGTGCTTATTAGCAGTCATCAGAAAGCAAAGTACTTATGTCCAGGGATTGCGGCAGACTGCCTCCAACAATCTAACATCAGCTAACTTTTTTCTCTTAAATAAATAAAAAAAAAAGCTAAACATTAGACTACAGGAGGTCAACAAAGAGAAACACCGAAGTAGTGAGACAGTAAACACGAGAGTTCACATAGATAAAAGACTTGACCAGTGCTAGGTTTTACTCGCAACACACTCCTATAATTGGTTGTGTGTCTACCAACCGGAAGTTCACATTTCATGGGAAATTAAACATATCCAAGAGTATATTTCAAATAAACTGCCATGAATTCATATTTTAAAACATGTAATCAGGTCAACAGACTTACCCAGTGCTGCTCGTCGCAGTTCTAATGCTGCTGCAATGATTTCGCTTTCATCAGACTGAGAACTAGTGCTACTAACATCTAAGACAACGTCTCCTGATACGCCTCCACGAAGGTAGTTCCGACACTGAAATGTCAGATGTCCAGCTGTTTCGGCGGTTAAACAGTATTCTAATTCTTACTAAACCCGCATTTTTTACAGCCAACTCGGAAATTCGTTCTAGATTCACGAGTCTTGGCTGCAAAAGTGATCAAGGAAAGATGACAAACTTACGATCCATAAGATCTGCAGCTAAAAGGCATTGAATCTAGAAGCAGCAACCAAAGGATCGAGAAGAGGCAGGACGTCCACAGGTGACCTTGCTTTATAGCGAATTCAGATCCTCGGGTCGTTGTCACATTCCCAACTAGTTGTTCAAACAAGCGGCTCCCAAATTTATAATAAATTTAATAAGGTCTTCGCTTGAAGCTACGAGACGCAAACTCTAACAATTTGGTGAATTTCTGCACATTTTCTTTTAAATCCAGCCTTTTGTTGGTGCACACCATGAAGGCTTAGACGCAAAATCTCAAATATGTTATTCTCCATAAAGTTGCTGTTTCCCAGGTTTTTGACATCTTTTTTGCAGGTAGCTCGTTTTTAACAGTGTTCCCAGACTTGTTGTTTTTTTCGAACAAAACTCTCTTGTAACAAGGTTTACCAATTTTGTTTCAAACAGTAGCTGCCATATTTTCATATTCCGGGTAAAATGATCATCATGAACAGCCACTGTAGGAGGCGATGTGATAACTACTATCGGTTGTCTCACACTTTTGGCGCTAGCGGGATCCCAGAAGCATGCAGTCAAACCTCTTTTACACTAGCTGTGCGAAGGTACTTTTTGCTCTTATGAATACCTTGTGAAGGAGGCTATGGTATCGCTTAAGGTAGTACTTAAGCTTTCTGATTTAAAAGGCTCCTTATCATAGGAGGGAAGTAAGCAGTACTTGAACACTGATCGAGCTTTGGTGAGACTTTAACAGGGGACCATGTCTGTAGTCCACCTGATCTCAAAAGGAGATGTATGAAAGTGTCGTTGACCTACAGTGAAACTGGTTCCACGAGCCATCGATTCTGTACTCTTATCCTGTCCCATAGCACAGGTGGACAGTAGGCAGTCATCGCGAAAATCAGTTGGCAAAAGATTGCCAACGAATGACGTAAACTAGTTTCTTGCAAAAGCATGAAACGAAACTATTGTGCAAGATGTATCACCCATGAAATGTGAGTAGATATAGTCGTACTAAGGAATAAAAGCCAGTCGCGTAAAAGTGATCTCTCCGTCAGAGGTATCACTTTACATGAACTGAAAGAACTGAGAAACGAGGACCTAAAATCCATTTTTGAATACCATCGTGATCTAATAAGACTAACAGCTACTCCCTAGTTAAGCAGTAGTAGTGGTAACAACTCATGGTCCGTAACTAACCGGCTAAGAAGCTAACCCTGAAACAGTTTGGTCAGCGTGCCCTCTCCAATCTACTGTATACTTAAGTCTTGAGACACGCAATCCTTTGCGATGAACATGCTGTTAACGGATCCAGCGTCTCTGCAATTTCAGACTTGCACCTGGCACGTCGGATGAGATGACGGTCAGCTGGACTATAATTAGATGAACACTGGGAAAACTTTGTAATTATGGGTTTTCAGGTGATGGGGCATCGAAAATCGAAAACACCTTTCCACATTAATATTCTAAGTCTAATACATAAATGCACCGACTTCATACGAGTACAATATTGATGAAACTTTCATATCGTCGCCATCATGGGGCCATAGCCAACACCGGAAATCGACAGCAGCGAAATTAACATTCAGAAGTACACAACAGCCAGGGTAGATAGACTTAACAGCTGAGGGGTACGGCAGTCATATTTTAGGAACTGACTCTTTCAAAATAATCATCTCAAATACCTTCCGAGAACAAGTATTATTGCAGGATGTTTGGACGTCCATTTTGCATAAACATTATATATTTTATAATAATAAAGCTTTTTGTATTTCCCAACGAATCGAAAACAAAACGATGTTGTTTCTACTGGCGTTTCACTATTTATCGATAATAGATTTCTCAAAGTATAATACTACTAATAATAATAGAGAAGTCTGAGGGCGAAACGCAATCATTGATGATGTCAATGGAGTTGAAAATTGAACGATCAATTCTTGGTTGTTTGCTTAAAATCAACTTCCCCAATTTTCGCGGAGGCATCAATACGACAGTCATCGTCTCATCGGTCGCTGTTCAGAAAGAAGAGTGAAACATCGTCAGAAGTAATATTGTGATTTATTATTGTAATATTTGTTTTCAGACCTTAGTTCGCTTATTCCTTTTATATGTTGGTGTAACAATAAACAAATCTCAAGCGGCAGATCAGTGTTTTGGTTTTTGCGTCCGTTATAACTAAGCGTTTCTGAGAAATCTTCGAAGAACAGCGTGGGCCCGAGCGTAGCGAGAGCTGGGCATTAACGGTTTATGAGACGTGATTGACAGTTTCTGACGATGGAAACAGATCTGGCGGATTCAAACAGTTGGTGAAAGTTTGGATAGTCGCCGTTCATCTTTCCTGGTGCCGGTCAAGTCCTCTTTGAACAAGCAATATCTGGAACTTTTTGGAATTGGGTCAAGTTCAACAATGCCTGGGTCAAAGAAGGGACAGAGTGTCTTGGATACAAACAGGAAAGTAAGTCATGGTGACTTGTCTGTTAGTTGTAACGATGTGTCTGATGTTAAGCATGACATGGTTGATGTTACTGTTTCGCCGTTCAGGGATAATAGGAACATCAAACTCCCTAATTTTGAACCACGGTGTTTTGATGGAAACCCGGCTGATTATTTACAATTTGTAAAGGAGTTTGAGATCATGTTGAGTGGTTTTTTATTAAATGATGAATTGAAGTTAATGTATTTGATGAGGTATTGCACTGGAGATGCTGCAAGAGCTATACAGTGCTGTAAGTTTATGAAGCCAAAAGAGGGCTACTACGAGGCTATGAGCATATTACGTCAAAGGTTTGGAAGACCTTCGATGATTGCAGGGAAATTATTCGAGGCTGTTAAGGGTAATGGTGGTCAATTACAGGATGACTCCCAGGCACTCACTGAGTTTTTAGATAATTTGCTAATTTACAAGAATGGAATGATTTCGATGAATCGTATGAGTGACCTCAACTCGAGTTTTTTACTAGAAGTAATAGCAAGACGCCTACCTACTCGACTGCAAAGGAAGTGGGTGAAGATAAGCTCCCGTATGGAGGATGAGGGTATCGAGCCAAAGTTTGATGATATCCTGAAACTGGTAAAAGATAGTGTCAATCAATCTATGAGCAAGTTTGCCAGTATATTGAATCTCACCCCTAGAATAGAGCAGTCTGAGAGCAAAATGCAATCATTGATGACGAAAGGGCCTCAGAGAGGTGGATATCGAGAAGGCTCCATGATGTATAGTAATGCATATAGACTTAGTGAGTGTAACAGGTTTCGTAGTACATCCTCAACAGATAAGTTACAAGATGCAAGACAAACACGGTTTTGTTTTACACGTGTGCAAGAGGTGCATACAGAAGTGAACTGTGAACCGGTGAGCAAGTTCAGTGATAAGCTAAATGTAAACTCCAGGTCTGACTCCGAATTGTGTGACGATAACGGTTTGGTCAGGAAGTCTGTAGTTGCAACTGGTAAGCCGTTGTTGAATAGAGTGTCACAGAATAGAGTTACTGCTTCAGAGTGGAGTTCTGACTCCAAAAGTTTACAAGGTATTACTAGTCAGAGTGAAGATATAAAACCTTTAATGATTTGTGAGGAGGAACCAAAATTGTCTACTTCTGTTATTAAAGAGTTTGAAAATGATGAAGTTGACGGTAAAGTGAATATTCGTGATAATGATCATGATACTTCACAGTTGTCTTTGGTTGATCATGATGAGATGAGGGATATGCCTACTACTGCTAAGTTAAATAAAGGTTCTGTACAACTACAACGTGAAGTAGAATTGAACGCAGATGCAGTTCCAGAAGGTGTGCATACTTGTGAGACAGTCAGTGTAATTGATCAGCGTGTAGCCCACCTATCATCAGATGATAGTGCTAAACCCGAACTAGTAGTGAAAGACAGCAGTGGTGGTAATCTTGCAGTTGGACAACTATCTGAGAGCCGAACAAGAACAGCTTCTGATCCACCGCTAAGTTCATCACCTTGTGTCACTCAGTCATCGTTGGTGTTTTCATCCACAATGAAACAGATGTCCATCAACTCAAGTATCTTGTGCAATGACTATGATAGTATTGGTGCGTTTGAAAAGACGAAAGAGATTGCTCAGTTTAGTGAGAATAAGCCAAGTGTAAACGAGAGAGTAATTGTTAAATTGACTTGCACGAATAAAGGCATTTCTAGTTTCAAGTTACTATTTGAATGTTATTATCTTTGGTGTAAATTACTCTGTTTCTACACTTGGTTGATGAGATATGTCGTGTGTTTGTTCGTCATCTATATTCTACGATACAATGACATGGGCGTGTTGCCGTTCAGATTTGAGGATATAGCTGATAGAAGGAAGTCAGCAAATGAACTCTGCGACGATTTTCCAACCTAGAGCGTCAACCTGAGAAGGGTTGTAGGCGTACTGCTGTAAGTCCTACAGTTCTTCAAAGGGTAGCGCATCAATGAGCAGTCCAATGTGCTTGGTGTGTGATTTTGTACATATGTTCATATTGTATATACTGAATTGATATCATCTGTCATCTAGCTGTTGGTAATTCTGTTTGTGTCCGGACGACTTCCACTTGGATCATCAACCTGAGAAGGAATGTAGGCGTACTGCTGTAAGTCCTACAGTTCTTCAAGGGTAGTTTGTCGTGTCAGAATCCACAACATTTGATGTGTTGATTGTACATATGTTTGTGTTAAATAGTTGTGTGAGTTCCAATTGATGTAATTGTTGGTTAATCTTGTTTGTGTCTGGACATTCCACAACTTACAATCGTCAACTTGAGATGGGTTGTAGGCGTACTGGTGTAAGTCCTCCAATTCTTCAAAATAATTCCACCAAGACATGATCCGCGAGGTTATTTGTACTGTTTGTGTATACGTGTGGTGTGTCTTCGCAATTTGTGATTTTGGATCAGTTGTGTTTACTCGTTGTTTTCGTGCCTTGTTGTCATTGCATAATTTTGTTAAAATTTTCGTCGTGATTACTTCTGAAGTTGTTTCTTGTCTTCTACATCCATGAATGAATTGATTGATGTTAAGGACAGCAGATGGGTCGTATACGCCGGGGAGGCTAGGCTATTGCTGAGAATGAAACGCACACGGAGATAATTGTTAGCTGCGGTCCGACACGCCGGGGAGAAAGAGTGTAAACGACTGAGGCTCGCATGCGTCACCGCTACTAGAACTGAGGCAGAATGAGTGACAAGCGATTTCAATGGTAATTGGTAGTGAGTAATTAAGAGGATGTGCGTAGAGTATCGTGAGGTCCTGCCATGGTCACTTTGCATTCTGCAAGAGTCATTCTAGCAAATGGCGATTGTGTTGCAAGATGTCAAGAGGAGGTCTCTGTCTGGACGCGCAGGTCGTCATTGATGTGTGAGATTGTGCTGTGGGTATGCTTGTGGTGTGTTGGCTTTTCTGTTTGTTTTCCATTTCAGCTCTGTCCG